GCTAGCAAGGTTATGCTCAAAATCTACAAGATAGCCTTCAGCAGTATGTGGACCAAGAACTCCCAGAAGTACAAGTTGGATTTCGAAGGGGCAGAAGAACTAGAGACCAAATTGCTAACATACGCTGGATTATGGAGATAGCCAGAGAGTTCCAGAAAAACATCTACTTCTGCTTCATTGACTATAAAAAACCTTTGATTGTGTGGACCACAGCAAACTATGGTAAATTCTTAAAGAAATGGGAGTGCGTGATCACCTTGTCTATCTCTTGAGAAACCTATATGTGGGACAGGAAGCAAGTTAGAACCCGATATGCAACGACTGATTGGTTCGAAATTGGGAAAGGAGTATAACAAGGCTGTATGTCTCTCCGCTTATTTAACTTATATGTAGAATACAACATGCAAAAGGCAGAACTGGAGGAATCCCAAACTGGAATTAAAAAATATCAACAACCTCAGATATGCAGATTATACCACTCTGGTCGCAGAAAGTGAGGAGGAATTAAAGAACCTCTTAATGAGGGTGAAAGAGTAGAGCACAAAAAATGGTCTGAAGCTCAACATCAAAAAAATAAGATCATGGCCACTGATCCCATCATCTCCTGGCAAAGAGAAAGGGAAGATATGGAGGCAGTGACAGATTTTACTTTCTTGGGCTCCATGATCACTGCAGATGGGGGACAGCAGCCACGAAATTAAAAGATGCCTTCTTCTTGGGAGGAAAACGATGACAAACCTAGACAGCATCTTAAAAAGCAGAGACATGACCTTGCCGACAAAGGTCCGCATAATCAAAGCTATGGTTTTTCCAGTAGCCATGTATGGAAGTGAAACCTGGACCATAAAGATTTACTGGAAGCATACTGTGTTGACCAAAAAAAGGAAAACGTGTTAGCTGCGTCTGAAGAAAAAGATCATAATCCACTAAAACGCACACTTAAAGCTTCATCCTTAAAGGGGCCACAAACTAAGAGCACTTCCTTTCTCGATTTTTTTAAAGGATAACCCCTATTTTTTTTACTCCAGACATAAACAAGGAGAGTTATGGGAGAAGTTCCTCTAAAACAGGTTTCCCCTGCCTCTGCACGTTTCCTCGGTTTTAAAAAAAGAGACCCCACTGAAGTTAAAACTATTCCGAAACCGAACACTGTTAGGAGAGTCATCCTTGCTCGGAGATAAGGCCTCCTGCTTCCAGTGGGGTTTATCCTTAAATAACGCTGCAGCCCGGGATCGAAATCTCAGTAAGCCCAAAGGCCAGGCTTTGGAAAGGAAACCCCTCCCGACGTTTGTTTTAACAGGGCCACGAAGCTCCCTGGGGCAGGTTTCCGACGCTGCTCCGGCAGCAGAAAGAAAAAGGATCCGCCTCCACCTGCGTCTCCATCCGGGCGGCCGCGAAAGGGAGGCGGTGCTTGCTGGCCTTCCGCCTCCGGGCGGGCCCGATTCGAAGCATGGAGCCGGCCTTAGCTGAGGGAAGCGGCGGGGAGACTGCCCGGAGGAGCCCGGCATCTGCCTCCGCCGAGACGGAAGAAGCACGGCGGCAGCAGTCCCTCATCAAAGGTTCCGAGGAGGCCTCTCTTCTCTTTATGGGGCGGGACGGTGGAGAGGCTGCTAAGTATATTAATTGGAAAGCGGGGAAGGGTCGGAGGCTCAGAGGTGGGTGGGCTGGCGCTGCCGCTGCCGTCTTCGGCTTTTCAAGCCCAACTCTTGAACCCCTGATGCGCCCTCCAGGTGTTGCACTCCAGGTGTTGTCACCCGCTCCTCCAGTTGGCTGGGCTGGCTAGGGGTGGTGGAGGAAGTGGCCGCCCCCACTATTGAGGTGCCCTCCGTTGACCTAGAATTAAGTCCAAAGCGGCATCTGGGGCTAAAACGCGAGAAGGCAGCAGGTCTCTTGTCAGTTTGGAGAATCGGGGCAGTGGCAGGTGTTTGGGTGCTGCTGGAGAGAAGCTGGGGTGGGTGCGTTACCTTCGGGAACTTGGAAGTTCACTTTCCTGAGTTAAGGTTGATACCACAAGGTTGGAAGTGTAGAACTTAACAGTCCTTAGCAGGGTTGAGCCATCCGGACTCTTCACCATTAGCAATTGAACAGAAGTATGCACACATCAATATTTTGCCTCTATATTTTATGCTTTCAAAGTCCTGCCTCTTACACAGGACTGCAATTTATAATTGCATAATAGGTTAAGATTCATAAAAATTATTCTTATTGATTGAAGGGGGCACACTCGGTTGAATTGGGCAGTACAGTTGTTAATTTGTATTGCACCAACTGCTGAAGAGCTCAGTGGCTGGATTCCTTGCTGTGCCTCCTTGACGGGCTGGATTTGATGATTCATAGGGTCCTTTTGCTATGACAGTGTCACCGAAGCAACCAACATGAATTTGACACAACTCCGGGAGGCAGTGGAAGATAGGAGGGCCTGGCGTGCTGTGGTCCAGGGGGTCACGAAGAGTCGGACACGACTAAACAACAACAAGGGTCCTTTGCAGCTGTGCACTTCTAAGATGATGATGATGATGATTAGTATATGTGGCATTTTTACCAAGTTCATGATAGTACTGTAGTCATTTGTAAACCAAGGAGGGAGACTCGTCTTTTTGGTAGCTACCCCTATCCTAATAGCCTGGTTCAAGGAGTCTGGGTCCAGCTTTCACATCCATAGTGATCATGAATACAGTACAATAGTGTGGGTGATCCTGGCCTTGGTCTCCAGCAATACATCTTTGCACTTGATGATGATTTCTTCAATGCAGCCCTTCTGAGTCTCAGCCTTCTTCTGATTTCTTGACTACAATCTCCATTTGGATTGATGATTCAGTCAAGATATACAAGATCTTTAGCAATTTCAATTTCTTCAGTTTCAACATTCAAGTTGTGTAGTTCTTCAATAGCTATGATTTTTATCTTCTTACTCTTTAATTGTAGACCTGCTTTGGCATTTTCTTCTTCCATTTTCATCAGAAGTTCTTTCAAGTAATTACTGCTTTTTTCCAGTAAGAGGTGTTATCTGCATACCTTAAATTAATGATGTTTTTTCTCCCAGTTTGCACTCCTTAATCTGAATCTAGCCCAGCTTTCCATACAGTGGTGCCTCGCAGAACGGTCACTCCTTAGAGTGACGAATCTGCGCAACGGTGCCGTTTTTGTGATCGCAAAAGCGATTGCTAAACGGCACCTAGATAGGGCAGGAATCATAGAGCGAAGGTCGGTAAGCGGTTCGCTTACCGACCTTCGCTTTGCGACCCGCTGATCAGCTGTTCCACGGCTTCAAAATGGCCGCCGGAACAGCCAAAAGCCATTTTGGCCCCGCCGGACAGCTGATCGCAGCATTTTCGCGCCCTTGTTCAGCGAGGGGAGGGCGTGAAAATGGCTGCCAGCATCGTTGAATGGTGAGTATTCAGCCCAATTGGAATGCATTAAACACTGTTTAATGTGTTCCAATTGGTTTTCTTGCCCTGTTCAACGATGCTTTCACACAGCGAGGGTTAATCCAGAACGGATTAACCTCGCTGTGCAGTATTGAACTGACAGAGGTCTGCATACAGACTGAACAGACAGGGATATAAAATTGCTTTGCTTGAAACTTTGCCTATAGGAAACCTTCCTGTTTCTCCATTTTCTGTCCTAACAGTAGCTTTTTGGCAACAATACAGGTTATGCATCAGGACAATCAAGTATTGAACCTAGTTTTTCTCAGAACAATCCATAGCATCTCATGATCCACATTGTAGTCTATATAGTATACACTGATCGTCTTCTGAAATTCTTTGGTGCACTGCAGTAGACAGAGGATATTTGCAATATGATATTGAGTGCTTATTTTCAGAATCTAGCTTGAACATCCAGCATTTCTTACCTATATAAGGTTAAAACCTTTGTTGGAACACTTTGAACATCACTTCGTTTGCATGGAAAATAGCAATGGTCCTATAGTTACTGTACTCCTTTGTATCTCATTCCTTGGGTATTGAATGTATTGAATATATTGAATGTTTCCCATTTGAGAGCCATTGTTTTATTTTTCCATATTTGTTGGCATATTTTTGACAGATCCAGTCTCTGTGGCTTGAAAGAGTTCTATTGGTATCCCATTTATCCCCGGTGATATATTTATATGAAGTGCTTTCAGAGCAGCCTTCACTTTACTTTCTAGAATTGCAGATTTTTCATCAGAGGGTTTCTTTTCAAAGAAGTCTGTCATCCTTTTATCTCTTAAGCATACTGTTTCCACCTTCTCTTCTAGGTTTTTCTTTTCTAGTTACTACTGTATAGGAATTGAATTTTTAATAATACATTTGGTATTATTAGTTCTGGTTCATGTTCAAATGAGTTTACTAATACAGTACAAATATTTTATTTATATGAACTTTTAAATTCATCAGAAATGTTCTTCAAATTATGTCTTGGCCCTTGGATCTTTTTTTGTGTTCTTTTTCATCTTTACTCTAATGTTTGATATTAACAGTTCATTTCAGCTGCTCCTTATCTTGGTTTGGCATAGAGTATGCAGCTTCTTTCAAGGGACGTGGTGGCGCTGCGGGCTAAACCGCAAAAGCCTGTGATGCAGGGCCAGAAGACCAAGCAGTCGTAAAATCGAATCCACCGGACGGAGTGAGCTCCCGTCGCTTGTCCCAGCTCCCACCAACCTAGCGGTTTGAAAGCATGCAAATGCAAGTAGATAAATAGGGACCACTTCGGTGGGAAGGTAACAGCGTTCCGTGTCTAAGTCGCACTGGCCATGTGACCACGGAAGATTGTCTTCGGACAAACGCTGGCTCTATGGCTTGGAAACGGGGATGAGCACCGCCCCCTAGAGTCGAACACGACTGGACAAAAATTGTCAAGGGAAACCTTTACCTTTACCTTTTATGCAGCTTCTTTATCTCCTGCTAGCAGTTATGATTGCCTGCTATAAGGAGCTTATATTTTTACTAATTGGAAATAATGGAAGAAGGGAAAAGAAGCAGTGAAGCACCAGTGCAATTTTAGACATTGGTGAGTGATTTCCAGAGGTCTTGGGATTTCATGTTCCCCTCTCTGGACCTTGGAAGGCTAGTTTCAGAAAGGATTTCCTTTAAATGTTTTGTCCTCAAAAAGCCCTATTACACTTGTAGTGGCAAAAACCTTTTTCTATGACCCCTACAACTTGGCAAAAAAAGGTAAGAAAGGAAAATTTTCCACAATTTTTTAAAAGAACTTTGATGAAGAACTCAACTAACATTTCTCTTATCTCCTTGCTCCTGCATTTCCCCATGGCTTCATACTTGGTAGAACTGTTTGCCAAAGTTGCTTAATATATACTCTGAGTGGGTATACTTTTGCATGTTATACTCTCTTAAATCATAGCACTATCATGACTACAAAAAACAAGTAAATGGGGAAAATATGAATGTCTGCTTTCTGCCATATGCATGAAAAGTTATTTAACGGTATTGCCTCTTTTTCCTGAAAGTGATTTCTGTATTGAAATTTCACCTTATATGTAAGCAATATGGCCACTTCAAACTAAGATTCCACAAACTATATCTAGAAAGTTTTGTACATTTCTTTCTTGTACTCCTGGAAAACATTCCAAGACAATATCCTTCAACTTTAAACTGCTTTTCAGTAAATTAACAAAAGAGTTGAACAGATGGAAAAAAACACTTCAGCTTTCATGGTTTGGCCACATAGCGACAATTAAATTAACAACTTTATCACAAATTGCCTATCTTCGCCCAAGTACTATAATTCCAATTTAAAGATATGTTATTTGACGACTGGCAAGAGAACACAAATGATCCTATAAATGCAGAAAAGTCTACTAGACTTCCCAACTCTGTGACATATTGCATTTTGAAAATGAATAATTCAATTCAAGATCTATCACTCTGGTTTTCATCTGAGGCACTTAATAAGAATAATGACAGATGATGAAACAGAGTCATGGCTTCACTAAGAAAAAGCAATATTAAATCCAGAATTAGTGAACTTCCAAATTCTTATTAAAGAACACATTCACAATCTGGATACATTGGTTTAATAAACTACAGTAATAACTTCCCTCTTTACTGCTTATACTGTTCTTTGCCCATTCCCCTCCCCCTTTTTAAAATAAAGATACATTTGTACACTTTAAGAAATGGGAAGACAAGTGTCTGTGCAAATTTAGATATATATTTATTGAAAATATCCAACAGACTAATAGGCAACAAAGGGAACAACTGAGGGAAATAAATCCCACATGATTTCAGTTGTCACAGGTTCCACAGCTCATAGCAATCCAGGAAGTAAAAGCTCATGTTTCCTGGTTAGTTCTTCAGTTTGAAGCCTTACTATTGATAGCAGCTGAGAGACTCAAGGAGCCTAGTCTTTAAACTATACTATCCCTTTTTAGGTCTTCACAAGGTGCCAAGCTAACATGGGAAAAAAAGATTTAGGAATCACTGTCTCTGACAATGACTGGAAGTCTTAGCAGCAAAGATTCTGTTTCTACTGGGATCAGAGAATACGGATACAAACTGGTGTACGGATGGTACCTTACTTCAAAGAGACTTTAACAGAGTAATGGTGGTCTAAACTCAAAATGCGGAAGGGACTGGTTTCTTATTTATTTATTTTTATGTATAGGCTACCATACTTGTTCAAGAATGCTTAATATTTAAAGAAACAGTCTGTTACAAATCAGAAAAATGTACAAACATCCTTGTTGGTCTTGCTTTCTTTGTTTGGAGAAGAGAATCTGAATTGATTACCCAAAGTTTTATTGTTTATTTATTTAAAATATGTTTACCCTGCCTTTCTCCTAAAATGATCTAAGGCGGTTTGCAGTATTAAACTGTAGAAAAGCTAAAAACAATACATTATTGCAGTGTTAAAACAGAATTCACACATAAAATCAGTATTAAAACACATTAAAAACCCAGCAAAATTAGCACAGTCTCTTTTTTTAAGCCCTCAGATAGCAAATCACTAAAAGAAAGCCTGCCCAAAGAAAAAAATGGTTTTTTCCTCCTGGGAAAAGGATATTAAAGACAGGGCAGGCCTGACCTCCTGTGGGAGGGTGTTCCACCATCTGGGAGCAGTAGCAGAGAAGGCCTGCTAAGGTGGTGGGGCCACCTTAACAGGCCTCCTGATAATCTTAACACCCTGGCAAGCTCATAAAGGGAGATGTGGTCCTTGAGATGGCTTGGACCTAAGCCATTGAGGGCTTTATAGATTAGAATCAGCACTTTAGAATTGAGCCCAGAAATAGCTTGGCTGCCCGTGGAGCTGCTGTAACAAGAGGGTTATGTGTGAGCCCAGAAATAGCTTGGCTGCTGTAACAAGAGGGTTATGTGATCCATGTGAACAGCCCCAGTTAGCAATCTGACTGCTGCTTTTTAGATCCTCTAAAGTTTCTGAACACTTTCCAGAGGCAGCCACACATATCGCATGTTGTAGTAATCCAGACAGGATGTAACTAAGGCATAGGTCACCATGGTTGGATCAGACCTCACTGCCAAAGCCTGGGCATCCAGACTTAGAGTGAATCCAGGAACAATTCCAAGCTGCACATTTGTGTTTTCAGAGGGAATATAACCCCATACTGCACAGGCTATATATCTGCAACCAGCTCTGAAGCCAGATTGAAATGGGTCGAGGTAGTCCATCTCATCTAGGAACCCCTGGAGCTTAGAGCCCACAACCCATTCCAGCACCTCATCCAAGAATGGAATATTAAAGACAGGCTGGTAATTATTCAGTATCATAGGATCCAAGGAAGGCTTTTTCAACAGCAGTCTTAACTGTTGCCTCCTTTAAGCATGCTGGGATCCTACCCTGTTGCAAGGAGGCGTTCACGGCTCCTCATATTGTGCTTATGGAACTGCTTACAGACCAGCCATTGAAGTCACTGAGAAGCCATTCTACATTCTTGGACATGTCATAGAAAAATCTCTGTTGAATGTGTTTATATTCTTCCAAACCAGTAAGAGACCAGCATTTATACTGAGACTATAATGAGGAAGATTAGATGCACCCAGAACACCTAGTTCACTTATGACTCTTCAGGTTACAGCTGCACTGATGAATTGTCTGGATTTCGAAGAGCGTGCCCATCAGAAATAAGTGGGTGCCTAAATTAAAGCTCAGTTATTATATGTGGCAGGACAGGGCCTCTTCACATGTCAATGTTCATAGTAAAGCGTGATGTTTTATAGGAAAACGTGAAGTAGTTAATGCTGTAAAATGCAGGACTATGTCTTCTTCCTGAACTGAGGGGTTGATGCATCTGGTTTCCATAAGCCACACATGGTCCAAGCGGCAGGGCATCTCAGATCAAAATGGGGGGGGGGCGTGAGAATCCTTTCTCCCCTTGGAACGTAAGTCACTTCTGCCTGTTGCCTTGTAATGGAATAGGTTGTTCCCAAGTTTGTACTCAGAAAAGGCTCATATCCTTGACTCATGCTGGATAGCCGATCGGTGCTGTTTACAAAATAAGCCAGAGAGTCAAGGTGCAGTTGTGATTTTAAGGATAGTTAGAACTGCACTGACAGTATATCATTTCGAATTCCAAACAATATTCTGATCATTTGTTTTCTTTTCTCTACAGTAAAAAAAAAATCTGCTTTTATTCTTGTTTGTTTTCATTATATTGGCAGGTGGAATTTTTCTTGCTACTTTTGCTACTGCAGGAATTCTAGCAGGTTTTGGTACTACACTAGCCATGGCTAAGAAGAAAAACCCCAACTGGTTCAATAAGGTTTGTTTACTCTGAGTTTCTTTGCAACCCTGGTAACATTGTTAACTTCATTATATTGTTATTGTCTTTTGTAAGGAAACGTTTATTGTAAGAGGTATTGTTTCCTCTGAACTGTGATAACTTGGACCTAATTGCAAAATATTGTTTGGGCTAGAATAGACTGAAATCAGTGTGCTATCTGCTTTTTTTTTAAATTTTAGAAACAGGATTTAAATTTTTTAAAGGGTATTTAAAGGGTATTGCATTTATCTTTAAAATAACTTGACTTAAAAAGGGACACTGAAATGAATATTAGCAGACATGTCTAATGCAGCAAAGGAACACAAAGCTTCCTTAAGGTCATAAAAGAAACCTTGTCATGTAAAGATAGTAACTAATAAACATGTGACTAAAATCTTTTTCTGTAAAATAGTGCCTTCCCAACTCTTGTATCAATAAGATCTTTTCTTCTATGTTCGGGAAACTCCAGTTTGTTATTTCTAGTGGTTTATTCATCACTTGTCTTGAGGGGCTAAATAGCTTTTGCACATGTCATGTGATATAGTATTATTTCTATGAATAGCAGTTTATAGACTATGTTATACCCTTAAGGAACTGTCTCATGTACAAACTCTCATGAACTGATAATCCCACATCAAGTCTTCATTTGTCTTCAATTAACTTTTTTCAAGTTTTCATTTTTACTCAGCATTTTAAACAAAAATATCCATTATACATCTCCTTGAAAATACACAGTCTTTTCAGTAACATAGAGTAGGAGGAATCCTAATTTTAAATGTATTCCTTAGATTCTTTCACGTAGCAAAATTGGCTGTGGTATTTTTACAAAGGATATGAAAATTCATGGAAGATATCACAATTTGTAAGGACAAGGATTCAGTTGTGTTCATTTGCTGATGCAGCCCCCCAGCCATTAACGTATCCTCAAAAAGTACATTTTGAGCATGATTTTCGGGCAGTGTTGAAGACTGTGGAGAGAGGGACAAGGAAGTTTTCTGATACGATGTCCGGTTTCAGTCAAATCCTATGGGAGCTTAAATATAATGTTAGTATAATAGACTTCTGACAGAATGACTTTGTAAGAATATTGTGAATAGTTGGTCGCTCTAACAGAATTACAAATGACCAGAGATCTTTAAAAGGAAATTGTGAGTTTTAACTGGGACTGTGCATTTGCTCCTGATTTGGTCCACATCTGAAGAAAGGCACATAGATTGAGACCTAATTCACCCTGTGCCCTTTTGGGGGTATTCCTAACTGGTCTGTGTCAGTGTTTGTGCCTTATCGAGTATCTGGGGAAAATAAAGGTACGCCATTAATTCTGGCAGAATCATTTGACCACCTCCAGTTCAGAAAATGCAAAGAAAGAAAGAAAGAAAAAGAAAGAAAGAAAGAAAGAAAGAAAGAAAGAAAGAAAGAAAGAAAGAAAGAAAGAAAGAAAGAAAGAAAGAGAAACAATCTATTATGAACATTATTAGTGACACCACTCCACTGAATTGACAAGAAAAGAGAAACCAGATGGAATGGGGAAGAAAGACAAGATACCAACATCTTAGTGTGAATATCTGATTTAAACTCTTATCTGTGGAAAACACACACATTCACCTGGACGCACATTCACACTTAGTTCTGGTAGTGTAATAAATTATAAATAAGTTATAAATATGAAAAAAATAAGAACACAAGACCCAAGTTATATATGCTACATCAGCGTAAGTCTCTAGCTTCAGCCTGCCACAGGAATTATACACAGCCTAATGACCTAACTCAGAGGCTGTAATGTCCTGTCTGGAAGAGTTGTCCTCAGAGGATGAGGGCCAGGGCAACCTGTCTCAGCAGGAGGGAATGCAGACAGAAGATGGGCTAAAGCTGGCAGTGCTGTCCCATAGATATGGAACACTGAGGCAGAGCCCGTCCCTTTCCAGAGAGGATCCATCCCCACTTCCAGGTGACAAATAAAACTCTGGACAAGATCAAGTCCTAAGCCCAATTGGCGCACAGTGCTGGACAAGTGAGCACAATGGAAGTGAAGCACATGACCATCTGTAGCAGATATTTGAGTAATGACAAGTAGAGAAGGGAGGGGCCCATTCCACAGCCAAGCAAATACAATTTCAGCCCAGACCAAGACCAAAAACCAATACTGGAATTACAGTATTTATCTTGCCCCATCTTTGTTCCTATGTTGAACCTCCAGCATTTCTTGCCTCCTTTCCTTACTGATCTCCTGGAGAATTTAACAATCTTCCTTCTGGCTGCACCCTGTTTTGACTGTTGTTTAAGTGCCATATTTTTCGCTCCATAAGACGCACCTCTTCATAAGACATAGCTCATTTTTAGGGGAGGAAAATAGGAAAAAATATTCTGACAATTTCGGCCCGCTGGGCCCGCAGGGGTGGGTGGGTGGAGCCTTGGAAGGGTCTGAGAGTGCCTTCCAGGACCCTTTGGAGGCTCCCCCACCCCCGTGGGGCCATCGGGGGCGAAATTGCCAGCTTCCAGGACCCTTCTCAGGCTTTCCTTCTGACCCTTCCGAGGCTCCCCCTCCCCCGCTGGGCCCTGGTGAGCACTGTTTTACAGTATTTGCTCCATAAGACTCACACACTTTCCCCCCTCTTTTTTTGGGGGGGAGTGTGTCTTATAGAGCGAACACACTTTCCCCCCTCTTTTTTGGGAGGGGAGTGTGTCTTATAGAGCGAAAAACACAGTACACGAATGATCTGTGGACTAACTCTGGCTCTGGACAAAGACTATTCTCTCTACATCATGTCTTGAACTGTGGTAACACCTGACTTTGACTGGCCTTAAATTCACCTCAAAGATCTTAGGTCCTCTGTTACTAGCACTTGCCACTGTAGCCCCCCTCTTTTTTGGGAGGGGAGTGTGTCTTATAGAGCGAAAAACACAGTACACGAATGATCTGTGGACTAACTCTGGCTCTGGACAAAGACTATTCTCTCTACATCATGTCTTGAACTGTGGTAACACCTGACTTTGACTGGCCTTAAATTCACCTCAAAGATCTTAGGTCCTCTGTTACTAGCACTTGCCACTGTAGATCAGAACAGTGATGAGAACAGGCTGGATAAGTCTTTGGCTTCACTGGGGAGTGGAGTTGTAAGTCTTCCCCGCAGGTGCAATTGCAGCATCCTCCCTATAGTTTTTGAGACTTTGAATTTCCCTTTCCTTGCTTTTAATCACATTCTGTCTTTAGTCTTTTTTTTAATTTACTGTATTTACTTACTAATTTATTTATTTATTTATTGAATTTGTACCCCGCCCATTTAGTCAACTGACTACTCTGGGTGGCTAACAATATATAAAATAAACAATTTAAAATATACAAACATAGTAATGCATGAAAAGACAAGAACTCAAGATGGAAAAACGAAATGAATCAAGAAGTGGCTGGAGGGAAGGCTTGCCTAAATTGCCTGGTTTTCAGTTGGCCTTTGAAAATGCCCAGTGAAGGGGCCATACGGATCTCAGGAGGGAGTTTATTGCAAAGGCGAGGAGCCACTGCCGAGAAGGCCCAGTTTCTTGTTAATAATCTATGATTATTTACAAATAATCATAGCTATTTAGTTTAGTATACCTGCAAAGAAGCAGTGTTTGCATTCAGATTAAACACAAGTGATCATGGGAGTGGGGCAGCTCAACTCCATAAAAGTTCTTTGCTTTGACATGTGGTTACCATGAAAACATACAAATAGACCCAATCTAGTTAAATGTTTTGGCTTTTGCCTAAATATGATGCACAGCCCTTTTTACTTATTTATTTAAAATATTTTTACTCTACCTTTCTCCTTGAAAGGACCCAAGGGGGCTCAACCAGTGTTAACAAGTTTAAATTTGTTCACATCCTGATTTAGAGGCATACATTCAAATATTACATTCTATCATTAAGAATATAAGCATTTAGGGAACAGTGTTACACAGTTATATGGAACAGGGGGGATGCTTTTCCGACAGTGTTTATGTATATGCATTTTGATAATCTTTCTCCCTTCATTAAACAATCAAAAAACTATTCTAGGGTATGCTTGCCACAGCAACTTTGCCAGAAAGCGGTTCATCCCTTGCCTTGCGTGCCTTAGGATGGGGCTCACTGTATGCCTGGTGTGGAGTGGGACTGATCAGTTTTGCTGTCTGGAAAGCTTTGGGTGTTCACAGTGTAAGTATCATTATTATATTTTCCAAATTATGGTGGTTTAGAAATTCCAGGAAATGTATGAACTTTCACTGCAAAGAGAAAATAACCTTTAACATATACTCCAGGGAAGCACACCATTCCATTAGTCGGTCTGCTCCATATATAATGTGTTACTAGTGTTTTGGAGGAGCAGAAACGAAACACATTTTGAGAAATATGAGCAGCGTGGTCTTATCCAAAGTTAGAGTTGATAGGTGGTAATCCTAGGTTTAGAAATTTCTGTTGGGGTTAGTCATGGGGGGGGATTTCTATGACATGTCATATTTTTTCCTGCAACCTATGTTTGAGTTTATGAACATGTTTATGCCTAATTTGGTGAGAAACACCAGATTACTCATAAACATGTTTGAACTTGCTTATGGGTTCAAATGTAGGTTGCAGAGAAAATGTGAAATGTCATAGAAATCCTCCCCCTAGTCATAAGTATTCAGGTTCATTTCTTTATTTGTTGTTTTTTTTTTAATTTAGGGAATCAAAAATTGCAGCTCACTTTTTGGGCTAGACACTTAGATAGAAGTAGGGTGCATCACTGCTGCCATATTTTGAGTGGGGAGGTTGATCTGTGGTCTGCATTTCCTTGCTGTTGGGATTACAGCTTTAACCATAAATGATATGTATGTATGTATGTATGTATGTATGTATGTATGTATGTATGTATGTATGTATGTATGTATGTATGTATGTATGTATGTATGTATGTATTTATTTATTTATTTATTTATTTATTCCTTTGGGAGTTCACCTGCTTTTTGGAGAACGAGGACATATAGATATCACTATTGAGAAAATAAAGTCTGTCTTTCCTAAAGAATCTTATGTTAGCCAGTTTAAAAATAAAGGCAGTTTATAAATAAGCAAAGCAGTCAGTTAACAGCAACATAATGCCATTGATTCATGATTCATATCATACCAGTTTAGCACACCAGATCTAGATATATTTCTAAGGAAAGCATGTAAGAGGTACTATGACAACACAGAGGAAATGGCTTCTCTTGTTTTTCTCCTGAAACTCAACACCAGAAACCTTGTAATTAAACTAAGAAAGGGGAATTATCGAAACTTAAAACAGTGAGTAAGATATGAAGAGGTGACTAAGAAAGGGGAATGATTGAAACTTAAAACAGTGAGTAAGATATGAAGCAAGAGTCCAAAGGTATCAAAGAAGCTTTATTAAACTCATTTTTTTTTGGAACAAAAAACTGCTTGCAAAAGAGATGTCTATAAGATGGAGCTGACTCTCCTGTCATGGGGAAAAGGCCTCAAGGTGACTTAGATCAATTATATGTGGTAGCTAAACAAATACAACAAATTCTGAAGGAATGGCCTGCTGCTGTTAATCCTCTTCAAACAGCTTAGAGATCTGTCAGAGAAACTATCAAACCTAGCAAATACTACTAATTAAGACTTCAATTTGGGGGCAGAACACCAATAGTCTATAAAAATTCTTGACACGTTGGATAGCAGATCTCAAACTCCAGTTGAGTTCCTGGAAAGCAAAGGGAGACACTCCAAATTGAGAGTGAGAAGAGTAAATTATTCAGAATGTGGAACTGACTTGATTACTTTATCCCACAACTTTGAAATACAGTGGTGCGTCGCTTAACAGGCGCCCCGTTTAACGACGAAATCGCATAATGATGAAGATTTTGCGATTGCAAAAGTGAGCGCATTGCGATGTTTTAAATGGGGAAAATCGCTTTGCGATGATCGGTACCCTGTTTTGCTTACCAATCATCGCAAAGAGATGATTTTTTAACAGCTAATTGTCGGTTCCAAAATGGCTGCCAGGTTAAAAAAATGGCCGGCTGCTGTTTTCTGGGACGGATTCCTTGCTTATCGGGCAGCGAAAATGGCCGCCGTATGGAGGATTTTCATTTAAAGGTGAGTCTGAAGCCCATAGGAATGCATTGAAGGGGTTTCAATGCATTCCTATGGGCTTTTTAAAATCGCATAGCGACGAAATCGCTTTGCAGCGATTTTTGCTGCACCGATTATCGTCGCTATGCGAGGCACTACTGTATACAGTTGTGTCCTGAACTGCATATATCAAAGGAGGATTTTATTTCAGTGCACTGAACTTCCCTTCCCTCAGTAAGGGGAAATAGAAAGCCTAGTGACATAGTTGTCAAATTTTCAAGGGAACACAGGAAAGAGGCAGCTTTCCAGAATGCAAACATACAACTTCATCAAGATCTTTGTTCCTTAATTTTGTAATGCCGCTAAGTATGTATAGTAGTCATTTGCAAGCCTCTTACATGAAAAAGAAATAACATGCAGATGGGGGCATCAAACAAAACTGATTATTAATCATGATGGAAAAAGTACCATTCTCAATTCACCCCCTGCGGTACAGGATTACCTACTGTCCTTGCATATGATCTCTCCTGGAGAAATTCCTACCTTGCCAGAAATTTCTAGTCTATATATACACCTGTCCTTTGGCTGGTGATGCACGTCAGATGCACTGTCTCTGCTTGCCACTTGTCCCAAATGCTATCCACTGTGTTAAGACATTTACATGTGCCCATAAAATGGTGGCATGTGTACAGACTCAGAAAATGGAAACAGGTGCATATAGCGAATGCATGTTTGTAACGGCACATGGCATGTGCACTGAAGAGCTAGATTGCCTAAAGAAAAGTTACTCTTCTAGTTCCCAGATTTCCCATCCAGCAGAGCTGCTAGCCATCGTGGCTGGAGGAGTCTGGGAGCCATAGTTTAAAAAAAGTAAAAATTTTACAACTTTACCTACTCTGCGATCTGTTGTACACAAAATTGTATCTTTCACCTGATAACAAGTAAAGTGGGCACATGGCAAGCCTCCTGGATCTTCTCTTAGTTCCTTCATGCTTAGCCCTGCTATGCTGGTACTGTTGTTTTTGCTAGTGTAGATTGTGTGAAAGACAGATACTTACTCAATGTGCCCATAGAGCCTTTTTCCTTTTCTATTGATGTCCTGTCATAACCTTAGAAAGGAAAAAATAAAATAAAAGTGAAGAATTAGAGTTCAGAATGTCAAACTCTGAAGAAATCCCCTATCTCCAGGATTGCATCTCTTATGTGGTTTGAACTTTGTTTTTTTTTCTGGCTTGATATCAGTCAGCCCTGTTTCAACTGTGCCTTTGTGTTTGCTGTGAAAAATATTCATTCAATAATATTTAGGACAGGGTCATGTTCAACAAAAGAGCACATTTTATGAAGAGAGAATGGGAGAGAGATGGGTCACACAAGAGTTCTCCTGTCTCGAGTCAGCAGATGGAGCAAAATATCTTGTGGGCTTTCTGGAATAATTGTAGGCTAACTGCAAATATCCTCACAAATCAGTCAGTTGAAAGGAGCATATTTAACAATGACAAACTCTGTGCCAGTTTTAATTCCAGTTGTCATACAAGGATAATAGCTACATTATGTCAACAGAAGGAGCACTTGATAGAAACATGTAATGGTTTTCTAGCGATTACCATTGAAATGTGGTAATGGATTTTTAGCCAGAGGTAATAAGAAATGCAACTTTATATTTAATTAAAGATTCAGTTGCAATGCCTCCCAGACATGGGAAGATAACTGCTTATTTGCCACTCCTAGCTAATGTTTTTTTGTTTTTATGGAAGGAGGGACAACAAAAACAAAGTGTTCATAATTTGTAAAGATCCATGCCAATTAACAAGCAACATGAACTGAGTAATAAAAACTCTTTTGCTCATTGTTTTCTCCATAAATCAAACAGTTTTATGGGTTTACAAAGCAGATACGGTGTCTTTTTTCATAGCAAGAACAGTCATGAAATATTTGTGGTTTGTAAAGAAAATGATTTGCTATTAGGACTGCATATGCTGCCAACAAATACAAGACACCCACTCCCTCCAAACTGAGCAAGGATTATGATCTATAATCTTCATGACAAAATTCCTACCCACTTTGTTATGCACATATCCTGACCAAGGTTCCCTCTAAGCCAGGTGCATGCACAACTCCACCTCCCTCTGCACAGCTCTCTTCCTCCTCGTTGCAGCAATTGTGTTCAACCCCTTCGATTCCAGTCACAACAGAACCCTGTGGGGGGGGGAGTTGCAAAGTCGTGTGTGTACACAAGGGTGAAGTCACGCAAGTGAGAAGGGGAGCCCTGCCCAGTGGGGCTGAAAATTAGAGGGGACATTGATCCTGACCTTTAGAAACGCTAGGAATGAGATATGATACTGTGTCCTTTCATCATATATAATTAAAATGGTGACTAATAATTTATATTTATTGATTATAATTCTACTGGTGTTCATATAAGGTTTGTCTAACTTGCACCAGCTAATTGTGGGCCACTGATGAGTTCCTGGAGTGTGTGATGAGGCATGTGCAATTGGTTGTGCAGTGAGACACATGCCTAGTCATGTTACCAGGATAGATGATGGCACCACATTAATAGCTGTGATTAGCTACAGCAGGTATGCAGATCTTATGTGAACATCCATAGGATCTGGTCATGTATTTAAAATATTTATATTCCTGCCCAACCTGCTAAAGCTAGAGCATTTTCCAACAATTAGAGAAACAAATACAAAAACTAAACATAAAATAGTTTTTGAAATATTAAAAAAAAACACAAAGGGTTGAGTTTGATCCAGTAGCAATATGCTTTGACTGAAGGTGATACATAGTATTTTGAACTTATATGGGGATTTCGTAGAACCCTTGTAACTAGAGGGTGTCACCACTAGACCTGTCTTCCATGAACTTGTAACTTCCTCATTTAATTTCCAAAGAAGGAGCCATGTTAGTCTGTCTCAGCATGTTGGCCAAAAACCAACCAACCAAAACACACACGCACACACACAAAAAGGCAAAATGCTGCAGCTCTTCAAAGATGTAACAGTTTTATTTCAGTGTACGTTTTCATGGATCAAAAGCGACTTCTTCAGGCACAGGCAGTGCAGATTCATGCCCCCAATAATAACAACAACAACAACAACAATATCAAGAAATTTCACGCAGTATTATAAGCAGTAACATATCTCAGAAATAACACCAGCAGAGCTACAAAAAACAAACACGGTAATATTAGGGATAGCATACATACTGCACTGACTTTTAACAAATACTTAGGTTTTGGTTAAAACTTGTATCTGTTATATAATACCAGTCATTGTTTTTATAATTTTGATTGATTGTGACGTATTTTTGAACAATATAATACAAAAGGAACTTTAAAAAATTAAGAGGCATGAAAGATCAGCTGCTTATTGATAAAATGGTAATAAATAATGAAAAACAAATCTTAACATGGCCTGGATATACTATAAAAAGGCATTTGACTTATTGCCACACAGCTGGATTAACAATGGTGCCGTGGATTACCACAAATGCAGCATATACTAAATTCCCAAAATTTTTGGGATTAGTAAAACTCAGAAGTTCCTCAAGAAAAATATGGAAAAAATGAAAATTGTCTTAATGGCCTATGGTGAAGAAACCAGGCAAGTTAGCATCAAAAGGGGAATATTTCAAGGGGATTCTTTGTCACCACTGCTAACATCTCACTAATCCCATGTCAATAATTTTAAATAAAACTGGATCGGGC